CGCATCAACTCCGACCTCAAAACAAACTCATCTATTTTTAATGTTTTTATCCAACTCCACGACACAGGCAGAATGCTGATTGTCAGGGGAACAGAGACAAGGGGGAAAGACATATCTACAGCCTTTCCATTTAAAAAGGGACATACAACATGCAAAATCTAAGTTTCACAGCCTTTGACCATGTTATAGTTGGCTTTTACCACACTCGACTTTGTTCCAGGGTGACTCATTCATGTTTGAGTAATTGACATCATCCTGAAGTCCAGACATAATTTCTTTTGCTCTTCCTTTGACCACCACCCTGTAATGGGAGTTTACATCGTTTTCTAATGTTCTGTTATGAATCAAATGTCAAGTTTTTGCTCAAAAGAACAAAACATCACTTGCTAACTTGGTCTGCAAGTAGAACGGAGCATTTGGTATGTGGCCATACTACTGTATAGGGAAGTATGGTGGGAGTGAGAAAAACTACACTTTAATGAAATAAAAAAAAAGGAAACATTCTACTGTTTTGTTCAAAAAGTTGAGTGGGCGGTTCTTTCCTTCAGTTTTTAGAATCCTGCCATAGGATTTTGATCAAATCAAAGGTGTCCCAGATTATGACTGTAACTGGCCCAAGAATATTATGACTTCATAAAAAGCTGGGTTTTCACCACAATAGAAAAAAAAAAAAAACTATGTAATGAAATGCATTCTAACTTCTCTCCAAACTGTTTGGTTCTATCACAAGTTTGAAAAAGCTACAAGCTTTTTACAAGTAGCTACATGTTTAAAACAATTTGTGAATTAGCTTTGTGCAGATATACAATATTATTGTCTTGTTGGTATGAGACTTCACTAATTTAGAAATGTTTTAAATCAATTAACCCTAACCCAAAATGGCTAAATGAAGAGAAAACCTTTTGACGGTCTTGAAACAGGATTTGCCAAATGGAAAAAGAGAATACAATGCTTTGCCAAGCTTGAAATAAGATTGTTGTTTCAGCATTTGTGCCATTTCAAAATCTTTGTGAAGAACCTCAAAATATAATCAAGATAAAAACCACTTGATCCATTTAGCACACCATTATGTTTATTTACTTTATTTCATCTGTACCAAGGAGTAGCTCACTGCCACTTTTATCCAGAGAAGAAGCTGGTAGCTGTGGTCTTCCCCATAAAGTACAATTAAAGTTTGTCAACTTTAACACTGCTGACAAATTATATAATTGTATATCTTTACACTGTATAGATCACTAGACAGTTATAAATGATAGATTTATTGAGCGTATTTAGAGCTAGCTCAGAAAACACAGCAGTTATGTATATTTTGTGTGATCATCTTTGCTCTTACTGCTGGACTGTATGTGCGCTGCAACATTTGAAAATTCCCCACTGTGGGACAAATAAAGGTTCTCTTATCTTATGTTTAAATAGGAAGGTATAAAGGAGGATTATCCCAAATTTTAGAAAGAAACGGCCTCTCCACTTTTTGAGCAAAACTCTCTGGTCTTATTGGACGAGCACGTGTCACCTAGAATGATTAACAATTGGACCAAACAGTCTTGATGATTCCACGCGCAAGTAGGAACATCCTCTTTGTACCTTTAGCCTGATAGTCAAACTTGGGTCTTTAAAATGATAGCAGACACTCATGTCAATAGACCAGACCAGCCCTGGATCAGGAGGTCGTGGTATAACCTGATACCAATTTATAAAATGCTGTTACTTTCCGCATAGTTTGTTTATAAAGCTATCATTATGTTCAAGCTGCCGAGAACAATAGCCTCTGCGTGTGCTGCTGTAATTGTCCTCTTAGTAAATTTTGTAATGTTGAAGTAGTGTCATGACAAGTAAAGAGTGGCTCATAAAATAACGTAATGGCTTCGATAAATGTCTGACAATTGACTAGTAATTTAATTATGTTGCAGTTCATTTTAGTCCCACTGCCATAAAGCACCGTGTGAGTGCAAAGTCCTCCACTGGCATTTTTATACGACCAAACAGCAGGCCTGGCACAATACTACCAACCAGGCAAATTAAAACGTCATGAAGGAAGATCACATTATTTATTTATTTTTCATAGATTTTTGCAATTGCGTTTGGCATTACTTTTTGGATCTTAGTCAGCTCAAAAACATTACACAAGTCGTATCTTTTGAAAATCAGCCAACCGCTTCTCTTAAGTCTTTATTTATTTATTATACGTTTATGGTGTTTTTTGATCAGGACAACACACATTGAACACTTGTATAAGTTTTGAGAAGTTTTTAGTCAAAATTGTTAAAAGGCCAGATTGTAAAAAACAAAAAAATAAACTGCTAATTTACATTTATAGTCCAGGCGGGTCACACAACAGCTTATCTCCGCTGTTGAAACTATTGTGCCAACCACTTTTTGCTGTCTATGGGGCTTTTCAAAATGGCCACTCAGGGACAGGGAAAATGTTGAAAATAAATTGCCATGCGTTAGCCAGCACCAGCCCCATCTCATTTAACGGGGGCATTCAAAAGCCCACAGCGGCTAAAAACTAGAACTGGTCAGCATTCACACCACAAAAAGCAACTTCTGGACACATCCTGTAAAGCCGTTTTTGAGAGGAAGAAGTGGCAGCTATACAATAACTGGGTTTAATTCTTTTCTGGGTACACCCCCCACCAGCCCAGAGTGAGATTGCTGTGGCATTGTCAGTGTGCTCATGGACCTCTTGGGAGTTAGGACCGCCCCCGCTGGGTCATACAGGTTACAAGAATGTAAAGGGGAGATAAGAAAAGACAAAATAAAAATTATACAAATTCTAATTCTTGTTCAAATGAGTCCAGGTTCAGGACCAAGTCACTTACAGTTAAACACACTGTTCTGGACCATTTTTTTTCTTTTTCTTTTATTGATTATTTTTATTTTTATAAGTCAGATTGTTATCAATGTCACTCTTTAAGGTCTTCCTGAGCCATAGTGGACGTTACAATTATCAAAAAGTGACCCCAAAATGATATTTTGGCAAAGGCTCAAGTGTTACAAAAAGCCTGTAATGCCCTCATTTGAATATTTTCTGAAATACTAAAAATGGATGTTGTCATATTAAAAAGTCAACTCCTCAGGGCTATAAAAAAAGTGGAAATTGCTTTTCCTAACATTCCATTTCAGCCTGTTTGTAAAACTTCTTGTTGTAAGATCAATGAATGCCCATTTAAAATAACCCAGGGCTTTTGCCACAGTGATCTATGACAACAATACTGTATTTTGGATGCTTTGCCGAGTGGGAAATGTGCAGAAGGCAAAACTGCAGGACAGTGATTGAGCTTATGGGAAACATTAGAAAAGCATCATGGGACACTAAGACTAAGTAAGCTAGAATGGTGGGTAGGCAAAACTGCTGCATTTACAAACCAATGCATGTTAATGGGAGTTCTTCTAATCCAGGGGTCTCCAACCAGCAGCTCGGGAGTCACCAGTAGCTCGCCACCCCCTTCGTAGCTCGCCAATATGATTAAGGTATGAAACAAATCAAATTATATAATTAATATTCCAGTGTTAGACAATATCATAATTGTTAATTTATTATTGTAAAATTCACTTACTTTGTGCACTAGTAACAAATATGTGATGATAAATAATGAATGTGCCCAATATCAGGCTTTTTCCCACAAATGTATCACTTTTTTTCTTCTTCTCAGGGCCGCTGAAAGGAGTAGCTCTCTGCCTTTATCGTCCGAGAAAAGTAGCTCATTGGGTGAAAAAGGTTGGAGACACAAGTTCTAATCTGTAGCTCGTGACTCCCCTATGTGTAGAAAGAGATTGTAGCAAGCCAAAATAACAGCTCAACCCATTTGACACATTTCTTGACCTAAGCATCAAGTTTTTATATAACAATCCGTGTTACAATTAGTGAACATTTTTTCACCTACTCTAACCATTAAAAGTACAAAAATTGAATGGAATACTAATACTGTGGGCTTTAATGGATTAACTTCCTGACCAAACCGCCCCCAAACATTGGGTACATTTCATTTTCGTTCCACGTCTTCTGTGAGAAAAGTAAACTCGCAGCTCTTTAATTTGTGCTCTGAAACGCGCCAAAGGCCAGCAAAGATCAACATGTTAATGAGGCGTTCCATATTTAACAGCAGCCTGGTACAGAGGCGCTGGAGTGTGCTCGGATTCATCGCTGCAAATGGTTCGGAAAACAACATCAGGGTAATTGTCATATGCTTATTAATGTGAGGGTGACTTGAGGGGTCTGACCAGAGCTGCAATAGGTCTCAGCCTTTTACTGTAATCGGCTTTAGGCGGCAATCAAGTGCATCACAACCTTATTTTCTTGTTCTATTGGCAGATTCATTATTTCTTGCTTTTAAGCAGTATTTTATTAATTTTCATATGGTTTATTTTCTTATTATTTCAGATATTCAGAGTTCAGATATTTTTTTCATTCTCCCACACAGATAATAGACTGTAAATATTAACAACATAGTCCGCCTTTTGAAATAATGTGCCACACTTTTGCCATCTTTTTTCAAAATGGGCGGGGCAGGACAATGTGATAAAAACAATTTGCGCATGCATTCGCAACACTAGCCCATTCAATTTAGCAAGTGCTTATGTTCCACAGCGGCTAAAACTTGACTGGTCCAAAAAAAAAGAGACTCCACTCCAGCACGCGTCAAAAGCGACCTTTGGACCATCCTGTAAGGACGTTTTCAAGAGGTGTGGTAACGAAGACACCATACAAATCATTGGGTAATTCTTATTCCAGGTACACCCCCCCACCAGCTATAGGGGAGAGAGATAGCAGCATGTCAAGCTCACGTACACATGGACCTTTGAAGACAAAGTGGAGAGGGTGGTTCTTTCCTAAAAATGTGGGGAAAATCTCCTTTACACCTTTAACATAACGGAAAGCCACATACAATACATCCCAGTGTGTGTTTACAGCCTCTAACCCCCGCACTTCTCCGTCCTTAACCCAGTGGTGATGGGGTTTCGAAGGCCACGTCCACTGATAAAGCAGGGTAACTGACCGTGACTTTGTGCTGTCCGGTGAGGTTTGGCCACTCGCACAGCAGCTGGCTCTCAGACAGCGTCAGCACACAGGGCGTCTCCCCGATCAGCACCGTGTAGTTCAGACGATTGTTCCCCGGAGCAGCAGGGATCAGGTTACGGCCCTAGAAATAAAGAAAAAAAAATAACAGTCAAGTAATTAGTTTTTTTATTATTCACAAAAGAACAATTATACGACAAACAACAAAGAGATGGTGATTTTAAGGGATACAACAAATAAACGTGTGTGTGTATGTGTGCGTGTGGAACATGTGCCAATAGTAATATGTAGAGATACACAATGAAAATGACAAATAATAAGCAAAATACTGAATCCAATTTGATCCACACATTTTTATAGTTCTGGCATGGATGAAAGTACCGACATTAAAGGTATAGGAGGATTATCTACTTCTCGTGGATCCTCAAGACCAGGGGGTGTTCACACTTTTTCAGCATGCGAGCTACTTATAAAAGGATCAAGTCAAAATGATCTACCTACTACAAAAAATGCTAATCATATATTTATTTCCAAAAAAATATTCTTTATACCTACAAATGTATGTTTATGTACATGCAAAAACCGCATGAGCCAATATAGCACAACACAACACAATTATCTATGTACATTTTTTGTCATTACCCGAGTTTACTCTTATGACTTGCACTGAATTGAATCGGCCAGAGATGCTTAGTCTGGAAAAATTGGTGGTAACTCGCTGACAAGTTTGTCGTGGTTTAGCTTTCTGCACTGAGCGCGGATGTTTGGCGCATGTGCAGTCACCTAAGTGTCAGTAAATACATTACAGAGTAAAACACACATGTGCAGTCACCTAAGTGTCAGTAAAACATTACTGAGTAAAACACACATGTGCAGTCACCTAAGTGTCAGTAAAACATTACAGAGTAAAACACCATGTGCAGTCACCTAAGTGTCAGTAAACCATTACTGAGTAAAACACAGATGTTCATTTGACTGTGGTGCATGTCCATGTGCCATGCCTGTTTTTTTTAATCCAAATATTTCCCTCCTCAGTTTATAAAATAATTTGCCATCCACACATCTGCGTTATCAATCACATTCGTAACATTCCAAAACATGTGCGTGTCTTACGTCCTGTCTGCGTTGCGTTGGGGAAAAACACAGAAGTGGGCGGGAGCTTTGATGGCAGACGCTGGTAACGGCACTTTTACAGTCATAGAAGACACTCAGAGTAAAGACGTATGTTTACAAGCACTGACCCCGTCCTCAGCCTGGTTTAGTCCTGGTTTTAGTCCTGGTTTAGTCCTGGTTTAGTTGTTTTCAAGCGTGAGTCCCCGCGATCACTTTGCTGCTCTCTGATGTGGAGGATGTTCGCTGCTGCGAGCATCTCACAGCGAACAGGTTTTTTAAGGTAGTATGATCCATGCATTCAGTGATCAGAGGAAATTTAGGGGGTACTGTGGCCTGTGGCGAGAACGCAAAACTCCGGTTATCTCTGACTACACACAAATGCATTAACGGAGTTTTCAAAAATCTCCACTTTGCCCGGAGTTTTTTGTATATATTAGTTTAGGAATGTGTAAATTTTTTATTTATTTAATGCGATCTACCAATACTACCTTTGCGATCGACTGGTAGATCGCGATCGACGTATTGAGCACCCCTGGCTCAAGACTATTGGTACTCCTAATTGTCAATCATTTCTGGTGATACGTACTCGTCAAAGAGGACCAGAGAGTTTCGTTCTTTTCCTAAAATTTGGGAAAATTCCTCCTTTATACCTTCCTATTTAACATAAGATAAGAGAACCTTTATTTGTCCCACAGTGGGGGAATTTTTCAATGTTGCAGCGCACATACAGTCCAGCAGTAAGAGCAAAGATGGAGCACACAAATATACATAACTGTGTGTTTCTGAGCTAGCTCTCAATACGTCAATATATCTATCATTATAACTGTCTAGTGATCTATACAGTGTAAAGATATACAATTATATATTTGTCAGCAGTGTTAAAATTGGACAAACTTTAATTGTACTTTATGGGGAAGACCACAGCTACCAGCGTTCTTTCTCTGGATAAAAGTGGCAGTGAGCTACTCCTTGGTACAGATGAAATAAAAAGTTAAACATAATGGTTGTGCTAAATGGATCAAAGTGGTTTTTATCTTGATTATATTTTGAGGTTCTTTCACAAAGATTTTGAAATGGCACAAATGCTGAAACAACAATCTTATTTCAAGCTTGGCAAAGCATTGTATTTCTTTTTCCATTTGGCAAATCCTGTTTCAAGACCGTCAAAGGTTTTTCTCTCATTTAGCCATTTTGGGTTAGGGTTAATTGATTTAAAACATTTCTAAATTGTGAAGTCTCATACCAACAAGACCAATAATATTGTATATCTGCACAAAGCTAATTCACAATTGTTTTAAACATGTAGCTACTTGTAAAAAGCTTGTAGCTTTTTCAAACTTGTGATAGAACCAAACAGTTTGGAGAGAAGTTAGAATGCATTTCATTACATAGTTTTTTTTTTTCTATTGTGGTGAAACCCAGCTTTTATGAAGTCATAATATTCTTGGGCCAGTTACAGTCATAAATCTGGGGACACCTTTGATTTGATCAAAATCCCTATGGCAGGATTCTAAAAACTGAAGGAAAGAACCGCCCTCTCAACTTTTTGAACAAAACAGTAGAATGTTTCCTTTTTTTTTATTTCATTAAAGTGTAGTTTTCTCACTCCCACCATACTTCCCTATACAGTAGTATGGCCACATCCAAATGCTCGTTCTTACTTGCAGACCAAGTTAGCAAGTGATGTTTTGTTCTTTGAGCAAAAAATGACATTTGATTCATAACAGAACATTAGAAAAACGATGTAAGGACTCCCATTTTACAGGGGTGGTGGTCAAAGGAAGAGCAAAGAAATTATGTTCTGGACTTCAGGAGATGGTCAATTACTCAAACATGGAATGAGTCACCTGGACACAAAGTCGAGTGTGTTAAAAAGCCAACTATAACATGGTCAAAGGCTGTGAAACTTAGATTTTGCATGTTGTATGTCCCTTTTTAAATGGAAAGGCTGTAGATATGTCTTTCCCCCTTGTCTCGTGCCCCTGACAATCAGCATTCTGCCTGTGTCGTGGAGTTGGATAAAAACATTAAAAAATAGATGAGTTTGTTGAGGTCGGAGTTGATGCGGAGACGCTAAGCCTGTCTCGGAGCACTAATCTAACAGCCTTCTTCACTTTTCTGATGTGCAAATAGGGAACAACTTTGCAAACTCGTGTTGCATGTTTGGTCCTGTCATCCAGTTGCGTTGTATTGAAGCTCCTGTCATGGGCCATCACCGCCCCCGTCCTGAGCTGTCATGCAGTGTCACTGTGGGGCCAAGTGCAGCCAGTGTGGAGCTGTCACCACACCCAAGCCTCTTATTCGCTGTGACACGCGCACACTTTGAAATGCACAGTGCCTTTCCTGCAGCAGCTGTTCCACGGAAGGTCACCGAGGGTCTCATGCAACCTCCCAAAACCTCCAAATAGCGGGGATGTAGTTTGTTGTTTTGTATTGAGTGTGTGTTTGTTTTTCTTTTACGTGACAATTTTTTTTTATACCAACAAAGTCTCTGTGTTTTAGACTTTCTTCATGTCCCAAAGATATCATGATAGGCTTAGTGGTGAATCAGAGGTAACTTTTTTGAGGCGTTTTAATTTTAAGCACAATGAATGCCAATGGGCAGCTGCTCAAATATGTCATTCATAAATCTGTAATACACTCCAGAGGCAAGAAATGGGCCAGCACGGTGGCTGTAGTGGATAGTATGCTCTCGTTTCTCAGTAAGAAGGTCTTCAGGTCTGGGGAAGGGTTCCTACAGCGACCACCTGCTCCATGACCTAAGCCTTAGTGGCATCAGGATGGGTTAAATGTAGATGGAAAAATTGCACTACAGGAATTCCATCCATCCATTTATTTTCTTTCCCTTAATCCATGTCTGGGTTTAGGGCGTGATAATCAGAGCTGCACCTAATTCACAGAGCACCAGCCCCTCACTGATCCTCCTGCAGGTGTCCACAGGAGGATGGTCTGCTCTAGTCTGAGCTGCCTAGGTCATTCAGCGGGGGCTTCATGCAAAGTGGGGTTAAGTATATTGCCCAAGGACACAATGACAGCAGACATCAGTGGGAGTTGTGAAATAGATCTTGTGTTGGGCTCAAACCCACTAACCTCAAGCCCAAAGGCAATGCTTAACCAAACTGAGCCACTGTCGCTCCTCCTGAGGGGATTTACTCAAAGAGATTATTTTTTAACTAAAACAAAATATACTTTGTTTTAAACAGACACCACCACTTACACGTTTTATAAAGAATAATGCTCATCCATGCTCCTTCAACACACACACATAAGTGATGGACTGAAGCGTTCGTGCCAAAGGGCAAAAATCATTTCCTTTATAAAGAGAAAAAACAACACAAAATCCATCTGTACGCTTGTGCTACTCGCACATTTTTTTTTTTAGGGTTGTCAAAATATATAATCGGAAGTTTCCTGATGTGACATGCAGTTAAAAGAAAATAAATCACCAATGGGGACAAAAATTGATAGGGATTGTTCTATAAGTGTTGCAAATTAAATATATTATTTATGGCGGGGGTTTGTGCTCTCCATGTGCACATAGTAACCGGCAGGTGTAATCAGCGTAGTACTTTACTGCAAATTATTTTATGATAAATATGTGTCGTGTGATGGTTATAGTTTAGAGAACCAGCAGCCATTATAGGGGGCCAAGTCAGATTAAACATAAAGCTGGGGTATCTAACTTCTTTCAAAACTTTTGTTCTCTATCCCTAGTTTTCACATGGATGCATTCTTGGTCTCTGCCAATTGGGAACAAGATTGTTTATTTTTTTTTTCTAATAGAATAAAGATAGCCTTTTTGTGGTTCTGATACGTTCAATATTTCTGTTGGGACAAACATGATACCAAGAAAAAGTATTTTCTTGGTATTTCGTTTAGTATTTAGTATTTTTATAATGCAATTTCAGTATATTTTTAATTAACATTCTTGTATAGCCATGTCATTTTTTGCATGGTAATATTCATAACGTCCTTGAAAAAAGTTGGACATGGCTTTCCCAACCCTCCTCAGTGGAGTCACACATTCACCACCAGCCACAACCCTAACCTCGAAAGCCCACTGCCTGTCACCACGTCCATGTTATTCAATATGATGGGCCCACATCAAACCCAGCCTTCTGTTGTTTTCTGTTTTTCCTCTTTTGGACTGGGATGTCACGTTGAATATGGCAGCTCGGCGAAGTATTGGCGGGGGTGGTGCGGTTGTCCGTTCGATCGGATCAGCTGTGTACGGGCCTGTGTTTGGGTTTGTGTGCGAGTCCCCAGGAGCACAGCTGTTGCTCATGTATGTTGCTTGACCTACATGATGGGGACCCCGATGGGTATAGTCTCGTTCGGGGGACGTACAGTAAAGTGTGCCCCTCCGACTCTCAGCTGTGTGGAGGCAGCTGTTGAACCTCCCCTGAGTTTATCGAAGGAAGTTATTTGTTATTTTTGCCGTGAGGCCTTATTACCAAGAGTCTGTGACAAGAAGTGTATAAAATTGAGTTTGAAATTGTACAAAGTGAGAGTTTATAATTGTGGAAGTAATTATACGTGTTGTGCAAACGTCTAAAATAGGATAATACTAGTGGTGGGAAGCAAATTCTTTAGTAGGTTACAATTCTAATTGGATCAGAACAGCATTCTACTTGAATGAACAAAGTAAATATGGATGAATGATTATTAATGAAAAAGAACAAGAATTCTGCATGGACATTTGTGGAAAACTGTTTATTTAATTATTATTGTATTACAAATAATTAAATAAACAGTTTCCACAAATGTCCAATGCAGAATTCTTGTTCTTTTTCATTAATAATCATTCATCGCCATATTTACTTTGTTCATTCAAGTGGAATGCTGTTCTGATCCAATTAGAATTGTAACTACTACTAAAGAAGTTGCTTCCCACACTAGTATTATCCTATTTTAGACGTTGCACCAACACGTATAATTACTTCCTACAATTATAACTCTCACTTTTGTACAATTTCAAACTCAAATTTTACTAACTTCTTGTCACAGATCTTGGTAATAGGCTCCACGGCAAAAATAACAAATAACTTCCTTCGATAAACTCAGGGGAGGTTCACAGCTGCCTCCACACAGCTGAGAGTCGGAGGGGCACCACTTTACTGTAGTCCCTCATCCGAACGAGACTTATACCATCGGGGGGTCCCCATCATGTAGGTCAACATACATGGGAGCAACAGCTGTGTGCTCCTGGGGACTCGCACACAAACCCAACACAGGCCGTACACAGCTGATCCAGATCGAACGGAACAACCGCACCACCCCCGCCATACTTCGCCGAGCTGCCATTATTCAAGTGACATCCCCAGTCCAAAAGAGGGAAAAACAGAAAACAACAGAAGGCTGGGTTTGATGTAGGGCCCATTCATATTGAATAACATGGACGTGGTGACAGGGCAGTGGCTTTCGAGGTTTAGTGGTTGTGGCTGGTGGGTGAATGTGTGACTCCACTGAGGAGGGTTGGGAAAGCCATGTCAACTTTTTCAAGGGACGTTATCTGAATATTACAATGCAAAAAATGACATGGCTATACAAGAATTTAATTAAAATATACTGAAATTGCATTATAAAAATACCTAAATACTAAATACCAAGAAATACTTTTTTCTTGGTATCATGTTTGTACCAACAGAAATTATTGACGTATCAGACCCACCAAAAGGCTATCTTTATTCTATTAGAAAAAAATTAAACAATCCTTGTTTCCAATTGGCAGAGACCAAGAATGCATCCATGTGAAAAAACTAGGGATAGGAGACAAAAGTTTGAAAGAAGTTAGATACCCCAGGTCTTTTATGTTTAATCTGACATTGGCCCCTATAATGGCTGCTGGTTCTCTAAACTATAACCATCACACGAACACATGTATTTATCATAAAATAATTTGCAGTAAGTACTACCGCTGATTACACCTGCCGGTTACCTATGTGCACATGGAGAGCACAAACCCCGCCATAAATAATATATTTAATTTGCAACACTTTATAGAACAATCCCTACAATTTGTCATTGGTGATTTATTTTCTTTTTAACTGCATTGTCACATCAGGAAACTTCCGATTATAATATTTTGACAACCCTAAATGTCGAGTTTAGCACAAGCGATTACAGATGGAATTTTGTGTGTTTTTCTCTTTATAAAGGAAAATGATTTTGCCCTTTGGCAACGAACGCTTCAGTCCATCACTTATGTGTGTGTGTTGAAGGAGCATGGATGAGCATTATTCTTTATAAAACGTGTAAGTGGTGTGTAGTCTGTTTAAAACAAAGTATATTTGTTTTAGTTAAAAATATCTCTTTGAGTAATTCCCCTCTAGGAGGAGCGACAGTGCTCAGTTGGTTAAGCATTGGCCTTTGGGCTTGAGGTTAGTTGGGTTTGAGCCAACACAAAAGATCTATTTCACAACTCCCACTGATGTCTGCTGTCATTGTGTCCTTGGGCACTATACTTAACCCCACTTTGCATGAAGCCCCCGTGTCTGAATGACCTAGGCAGCTCAGACTAGAGCAGCCATCCTCCTGTGGGACACTGCATTGAGGATCAGTGAGGGGCTGGTGCTCTGTGAATTAGGTGCAGCTCTGATTATCACGCCCTAAACCCAGACATGGATTAAGGGAAAGAAAATAATATGGATGATGGATGAATTCCTGTAGTGCAATTTTTCCTCTAACATTTAACCCATCCTGATGCCAACTAAGGCTTAGGTTAGGAGCAGTGGTCGCTGTTAGGAACCCTTCCCAGACCTGAAGACCTTTTACTGAGAAACGAGAGCATTACAATCCCACTACAGCCACCGTGCTCGGCCATTTCTTGCCTCTGGAGTTGTTTACAGATTTATGAATGACATATTTGAGCAGCCCATTGCACTTCATTGTGCTTTAAACATTAATAAACGCTCAAAAAAAGTTCCCTCTGATTCAGCCACTAAAGCTATCATGATATCTTGGGACATGGGAGAAAGTCTAAAACACATGAGACTTTTGTTGGTATAAAAAAAAAAATTGTTCACGTAAAAGAAAAACAAACACACACTCAATACAAAACAACAAACTACATTCCCGCTATTGGAGGTTTTGGGAGGTTTTGCATGAGACCTCGGTGACCTTCTGTGGAACAGACTGCTGCAGGAAAGGCCTGTGCATTTCAAAGTGTGCGGTTTTGTCACAGCGAAAATAAGAGGATTGGGTGTGGTGACAGCTCCACACTGGCTGCACTTGGCCCCACAGTGACACTGCCAGTGTGACAGCTCAGGGACGGGGGCGGTGATGGGCCCATGACAGGAGCTTCATACAACGCACTGGATGACAGGACCAACATGCAACACGACCGAGTTTGCAAAGTTGTTCCCTATTTGGCACATCAAGAAAAGTGAGAAGGCTGTTAGATTAGTGCTCCGAGACAGCTTAGCGTCTCCGCATCAACTCCGACCTCAACAAACTCATCTATTTTTAATGTTTTTTATCCAACTCCACGACACAGGCAGAATGCTGATTGTCAGGGGCACGAGACAAGGGGGAAAGACATATCTACAGCCTTTCCATTTAAAAAGGGACATACAACATGCAAAATCTAAGTTTCACAGCCTTTGACCATGTTATAGTTGGCTTTTTACACACTCGACTTTGTTCCAGGGTGACTCAATTCATGTTGAGTAAATATGACCATCTCCTGAAGTCCAGACATAATTTCTTTTGCTCTTCCTTTGGACACCACCCCTGTAATGGGAGTCTTTACATCGTTTTCTAATGTTCTGTTATGAATCAAATGTCATTTTTTGCTCAAAGAACAAAACATCACTGCTAACTTGGTCTGCAAGTAGAACGGGAGCATTTGGATGTGGCCATACTACTGTATAGGGAAAGTATGGTACAGGGAGTGAGAAAAACTACACTTTAATGGAAATAAAAAAAGGGAAACATTCTACCTGTTTTGTTTCTAAAAGTTGAGTTCTCGAGGGCGGTTCTTTCTTCAGTTTTTAGATCCTGCCATAGGATTTTGATCAAACTCAAAGGTGTGACCCAGATTATGACTGTAACTGGCCCAAGAATATTATGACTTCATTAAAGCTGGGTTTTCACCACAATAGAAAAAAAAAAAACTAAGTAATGAAATGCATTCTAACTTCTCTCCAACCACTGTTTGGTTCTATCCACAAGTTTGAAAAAGCTACAAGCTTTTTACAAGTAGCTACCATGTTTAACAACAATTGTGAATTAGCTTTGTGCAGATATACAATATTATTGTCTCAGCTTGTTGGTATGAGACTTCACTAATTTAGAAATGTTTTAATCAATTAACCCTAACCAAAATGGCTAAATGAAGATGAAAACTTTTGACGGTCTTTTGAAACAGGATTTGCCAAATGGAAAAAAGAAATTACAATGCTTTGCCAGCTTGAAAATAAGATTGTTGTTTCAGCATTTGTGCCATTTCAAAATCTTTGTGAAAGAACTCAAAATATAATCAAGATAAAAAACCACTTGATCATTAGCACACCGATTATGTTTACTTTATTTCAACTCTGTACCAAGGAGTAGCTCCCTGCCACTTTTATCCAGAGAAAGAAGCTGGTAGCTGTGGTCTTCCCCATAAAAGTACAATTAAAGTTTGTCCAATTTAACATGCTGACAAATATATAATTGTATATCTTTTACAACTGTAATAGATCACTAGACCGTTATAATGATAGATTATATTGACGTATTTAGGAGCTAGCTCAGGAAACACAGCAGTTATGTTGATATTTTTACTTTGTGTGCTCCATCTTTGCTCTTACTGTGGACTGTATGTGCGCTGGCAACATTGAAAAATTCCCACTGTGGGACAAATAAAGGGTGTCTCTTATCTTATGTTAAATAGGAAGGTATAAAGGAGGATTATCCAAATTTTAGGAAAGAAACCGGCCTCGTCACACTTTTTGAGCAAACTCTCTGGTCTTATTTGACGAGCACGTGTCACCAGAATGATTAAACAATTGGACCAAACAGTCTTGATGATCCCACGCGCAAGTAGAACATCCTCCTTTGTACCTTTAGCTATAGTCAACTCTGGGTCTTTAGAAATGATATAGCCCAGACTCATCATGTCAATCAGACCAGCCCTGATCAGAGAGGTCGTGTATAACCTGTTACCAATTTGATAAAATGATGTTTACTTTCTGCATAGTGTGTTTTATAAAGCTATCATTAGTTCAAGCTGCCGAGTACAATAGCCTCTGCTTGTTGCTGCTTTAATTGTCCTTGCTTAGTAATTTTTGTAATTGTTGAAGTAGTGTCATGACAAGGTAAAGAGTGGCTCCATAAAATCAAAGTAATGGCTTCGATAATTGTCTGACAATTGACTTGAAATTTAATTATGTTGCAGTTCATTTATTCCACTGCCATAAAGCACCTTGTTGAGTGCAACAGTCTCCACTGGCATTTTTACGACCAAAACAGAAGGCGGCACAATACTACCAACAGGCAAATTAAAACGTCATGAAGGAATCACATTATTTATTTATTTTTCATAGATTTTTGCAAATGCGTTTGGCATTACTTTTTGGATCTTAGTCAGCTCAAACAATTACACAAGTCGTATCTTTTGAAAAATCAGCCAACCGCTTCTCTTAAGTCTTTATTTATTTTATTATAACGTTATGGTTTTTTGATCAGGACAACACACATTGAACCACTAGTTGTATAAGTTTTGAGAGTTTTTAGTCAAAAATTGTTAAAGGCCAGATTGTAAAAAACAAAAAAAATTAAATGCTATTTACATGTATAGTCCCAGGCGGGTCCCACAAACACGCTGATTCTCGCTGTTGAAAACTATTGTGCCACCACTTTTGCTGTCTATGGGGGCCTTTTCCAAAATGGCATCAGGGCAGGAAAATGTGAAATAATTTGCACATGCGTTAAGCCCAAGCACCAGCCCATTCATTTACGGGGGCATTAAAAAGTCCACAGCGGGCTAAAAACTAGACTGGTCAGCATTCCACACAAAAGCAACGTCTGGGGACACATCCTGTAAGCGTTTTGAGAGGAAAGAAGGCGATACAAATAACTGGGTAATCTCTTTCTGGGTACACCCCCAGCCAGAGTGAGATTGCTGGCATGTTCAGTGGCTCATGGACCTCTTGGAGTTAGGACCCGCCCACGCTGGGTTCATACAGGGTAACGAATGTAAAGGGGAGAAAAAGGGGTACAAAATAAAAATTATACAAATTCTAATTCTTGTTCAAATGAGTCCAGGTCAGGACCAAGCTCACTTACAGTTTTAAAACACTGTTCTGGACCATTTTTTTCTTTTTTCTTTATTGATTATTTTATTATAAGTCAGATTGTTATCAAATGTCACTCTTTAAAGGTCTTCCTGAGCCATAGTGGACGTTTACAATTATCAAAAAGTGACCCCAAAATGATATTTTGGCAAAAGTGCACAAGTTGATTACAAAAAGCCTGTAATGCCCTCATTTGAATATTTTCTGCAAATACTAAAAATGGATGTTGTCATATTAAACAAGTCAACTCTCAGGGCTTAAAAGTGAATTGCTTTTTCTAACATTCCATTTCAGCCTGTTTGTGTAAACTTCTTGTTGTAGATCAATGATGCCCATTTAAAAATAACCAGGGCTTTGCACAGTGATCTATGGACAACACTACTGTGATTTTGTTGCGTTTGCCGAGTGGGAAAATGTGCAGAAGGGCAAAACTGAGACAGTGATTGCGCTTATTGGAAACTTAGACGCATCATGGGGACACTCAGACTAAGTTAGCTAGAATGGTGGTAAGGCACAAACTGCTGCTTTACAAACAATTGCATGTTAATGGTGATTTCTTCTAATCAGGGGGTCTCCAACCAGCGCTCGGGAGTCTACCAGTAGCTCGCACCCCTTCGTAGCTCGCCAATTGATTAATGGTATGAACAAAATCAAATTATATATTAATATTCCAGTGTTGACAATATCAAAATTGGTTAATTTATTTATTGTAAATTCACTTCTCTTGCTGCACTAGTAACAAATATGTGGATGATAAATAATGAATGTGCCAATATCAGGCTTTTTCCCACAAATGTATCACTTTTTTTCTTTCTTCTCAGGGCCGCTGAAAGGAGTAGCTCTCTGCCTTTATCGTCCCGAGAAAGTAGCTCAGTTGGGTGAAAAAGGTTGGAGACACAATGTTCTAATCTGTAGCTCGTGACTCCCCCTATGTGTAGAAAGAGATGTAGCAAGCCAAAATAACAGCTCAACCAATTTGACACATTTCCTTGACCTAAGCATCAAGTTTTTATATACAATCCTGTGTTACAATTAGTGAACATTTTTTCAACCTACTCTAACCATAAAAGTACAAAATTGAATGGAATACTAATATGTGGGCTTTAATGGATTAACTTCCTGACAAACCGCCCCCCAAACATTGGTACATTTTATCATTTTCGTTCCACGTCTTCTGTGAGAAAAGTAACTCGCAGACTCTTTAATTTGTGCCTGAACGCGCCAAAGGCCAGCAAAGATCAACATGTTAATGGAGGCGTTCCATATTTAACAGCAGCCTGAGTACCAGAGGCGCTGGAGTGTGCTCGGATTCATCGCTGCAAATGGTTCGGAAACAACATCAGGGTAATTGTCATATCGCTTTATTAATGTGAGGGTGACTTGAGGGGTCTGACCAGAGCTGCAATTGAGTCTCAGCCTTTTACTGTAATCCGGCTTTAGGCGGCAATCAAGTGACATCACATCAATATTTTCTTGTTCTATTGGCAGATCATTTTTCTTATTTTAAGCAGGTAATTTTATTAATTTTCATATGTTTATTTTCTTATTATTTTCAGATATTCAGAGTTCAGATATTTTTTTCATTCTCCCCACACAGATCATAGAGACTGTAACATATTAACAAACATAGTCACGCCTTTTGAAACTATTGTGCCACCACTTTTGCCATCTTTTTCAAAATGGCTGCGGGGGCCAGGACAATGTGATAAAACACATTTGCGCATGCATTAGCCAACACTAGCCCCATTCATTTAGCAAGTGCATTATGTCACACTCGGGCTAAACTAGACTGGTCCAAAAAAAGAGACTCCCACTCTGCACTCGACAAAAAAGCGACTTCTGGACCCTCCTGTAAGACGTTTTCAAGAGGAAAGAAGACACCATACAAACTCATTGGGTAATTCTTATTCCAGGTACACCCCCACCAGCTATAGGAGTGAGATAGCAGCCATGTCAGCTCACGTTACACATGGGACCTTTTGAAGACCAATGTGGGATGGAGGGTGGTTCTTTTCTAAAATGTGGGAAAACATCTCCTTTGTACACCTTTAACATAACGGAAAGCCACATACAATTACATCCCCTTCCGCTTGTGTCTTTTTTTCTGGGAGTGTGTGTTTACACTGCCTCTAACCCGCACTTCTCCGTCCTTAACCCAGTGGTGATGGGTTATCGAAGGGCCACGTCCACTGATAAGCAGGGTAACTGACCGTGACTTTGTGCTGTCCGGTGAGGTTTGGCCACTCGCACAGCAGCTGGCTCTCAGACAGCGTCAGCACACAGGGCGTTCCCCGATCAGCACCGTGTAGTTCAGACGATTGTTCCCCGGAGCAGCAGGGTATCCGGTTACGGCCCTAGAAATAAAGAAAAAAAAATAACAGTCAAGTAATTAGTTTTTTTCATTTATTCACAAAAGAACAATTATACGACAAACAACAAAGAGATGGTGATTTTAAGGGATACACAACAAAATAAACGTGTGTGTGTTATGTGTGCGTGTGGAACATGTGCAATAGTAATATGTAGAGATACACAATGAAAATGACAAATAATAAAGCAAAATAATGAATCCAATTTGATCCACACATTTTATAGTTCTGCATGATGAAAGTACGACATTAAAGGTATAGGAGGATTTATCTACTTCTTCGTGGATCCTCAAGACCAGGGGCTGTGTTCACACTTTTTCAGCATGCGAGCTACTTATAAAAGGATCAAGTCAAAATGATCTACCTACTACAAAAATGCTAATCATATATTTATTTCAAAAAATATTTCTTTATACCTACAATGTATGTTTATGTACATGCAAAACCGCATGAGCCAACTATAGCACACACAACACAATTTTAGTCTCATGTACATTTTTTGTCATTACCCGAGTTTACTCTTATGACTTTGCACTGAATTGAATCGGCCAGAGATGCACTAAGTTCTGGAAAAACAATTGGTGGTAACTCGCTGGGACACAGTTTGTCGTGGTTTTAGCTTTCCCATGCACTGAAGCGCGGATGTTTGGCGCATGTTGCAGTATGACGTTGACTGCTGTGCAATGATTGTGGAGGGGGCTGCCGTTTCTGCGTTGGAGTAAAATAATAATTTCCTCTGCTGGCGTCTGCTTTTGCCAACAAAACACTGCAGCTCAAGTCCTGACTAGAACCAGGAAGTACAATCACATTTGCCCTGGTCTCAGGTCTCTGCACTGGCTTCCTTAGGCTCTCTCCATGGACTCGCGCCAAAGTATCTATAACATGTTAGTGCCATAAGATCCAACTCTTTAATCAACTCTCGCACAGGGACTGGCCTCCTGCTTTGACTTACAGGAGCACAGGATGAGTCTGGATAACACATGGGGAGGCAGCGCTTCACATTTATGCAGCTAAAATCTGGAGAAGTCTTCCTGAAAATGTGAGACAGGCTTCTACTCTGACAATGTTCAAATGCAGTTTCAAAACAGTGCTGGTTAGCCGTGCGTACAACTGAAGGATTGTATCTTCACTCTTTTTAATGCACTGGGATTTTATTGCCTTGTATGACTTGAATTTCTTGTTTTGTTAATCACTTTTAAGTTGCCTTATGTATGAGCTGTGTTAAACAAATAAACTTCCCTTGCCTAAATGCCACAATGGACTTATTTATACAAGGAGTCTTTCATACAAAAAGACTAAACAAAAAGTAAAGTAATAATAGTCAAATCAACAGTCATGTTTATATAATTCTAAAACCAAATTATTGGTTTTGGTTTTTTTGTATTGATCCAGGAACGTCCCCCTCTTCATTGGGGAGAGGGAAGCTGTAGTGGTTTTTAGTGCTAGGGACACCTGGAGAGAGAACAGAGGAAGAATATGCAAACTCTGCAGGGAAAGGCTCTGTCTGGAAGGTGGAATCAAACCCAGTACCTCTTCTTGCTTAGAAGGGAAAGTGCTAACCACTGTGAGAAAAGTGAAACTGGTGTCAGAGTGAGCATTTTGGATAAGTTTGAAAAGTAATAAAACATTTTATAAAGAAAAGCCTTCTTTCCACGTTCAGTCTTTGTACAGATGTCAAAAGTAAATGGTCTTATGATCTTGTGTCTTCTAGTTTAAAAAAATCAAATCTCTGTCCATTTCTTCCTGAATCGATTCTTTGTTGGGGTCAGTGTATACCTGAATGAGACTGTTTTTGCCAATTATATGCATAGTTAAAGAACATAACTGAGCAGTAGTTAAGTAGTTAAGTCTTAGAACAAAATTCCCATTAAACAAATAAAACCTTGATATTCTTGATGGCACTATACTGTCATACTGTCTGATGTCTGATTTTGAGGAGATCAAACTTGAAATGTTTGGCTTTGTTTTTAGGGGCAGGAACAATTAGACTGTCTTTGACATGTTCCTGTTCTGACATTGATAGTATTCTTCGAAAATGTTGTTAAACACATGAAAGAATAAACTAGTATGCATTTTGATCACATTTTCTATACAGTCGATTTGAATTGATCTTTATTTAACTTCAGGATAGTCTCACTGAGAATCATGTATACAGAATGTATTTCAAGGTGAAAGCGCTGTAAAGGTTTTTTTATTTTTTTATCCTATAGTCCCATCCTAACCCTAAAGCATACATTGTAAAAAGCAGCTCTTTATGGGAGGATTGTGCTGAAGTGCGATAACGAATACAAAACATGAACTTTCTCTTCAAAGCCTTGTGTCTATAAGTGACGTGTAGAACTAGTGTTGGCGCTTTTCTTTCACTTGGGAGGATTATTTCACAGCACGATACTTTGAAATGTAAATGGGAGACGTTAGGACATTCACCATTAAATCAGAGAATCAGGTCTGGCATCTTTCTACCGATTCAGTCAGTTGAGGACAACTTTGAGGACATTTGTACTCCAATCTCCAATTTTTCATTTCTGTTTATTATTGACCAATATCTAATCATATTGCAGAATCTCTTTTCGAGGCGAGTTCTGGCCCCACAGAGAGTGTTAGATAAGTTTTCAGTGGTAGGGGAAAGCGGAGCACCCAGAGCATACAAAGGTATGAAAAGGTTAGGGTTACGAAAAGGATGAGGAAAAGGGTGAGGAAAAGGTAAAGATGCACTTTATTGCAATTCATCCTCTGCATTTGACCCATCCTGATGCCACTAGGGCGTCTATCAGGAGCAGTGGTCGCTGTAGCACAGCGCCCTGGGGACCCATCTCCAGATGTTGATGTAAGGCTCGGTCAGGACTGGCGGAACTGGAGGATTTTACATATCGTGCATGTTTTAAGTGGTAGGGTAATCCGGAGTACCTGGAGGAGACCTACGTAGGCATGGGGAGAACATGCAAACTCCACACAGAAAGGCCTGGAGGTGGAATCGAACCCAGAAGCTAACCATTATACCACTGTGTCTCCCATTCAAACTCGGGTACCCCTTGATGCTACTCTGGACACTAGACTGCTGCTTTTACAACCAATTTCACTTTTTTCAAGTGAATGAAAATGGTATAACCAATAAAGTGAACTTCTGCCTGTAGCCACGCGCCTTCACTGCAGCCCTGAGAGTGCGGCGCAGCTGTTTATTATTCATGCTGTGACTCTGCATGTTGCTGCTCATCAGGGACGACGGTTAGAAGCCAATAAATCCCTTTAAATCCTGATCGAGCTGTCGCATAATATTGTTCACGGCTGCAGGAAAAGTTAAACCACAAAGTCTGCGTTTTCTCCCACAAAACCAGAGCATTGTCAAGAATTATCAACAGACCGCCAGGCGTTTCAAGTGCCCCTGTGTCATCCTCCCATCTGAACCAAGCCTCCAAATGAACTCACACAAGCTACATGGGGATTTTAAACACACTTTAAAAGAAAAATGTTATAGTTATTGGGTCCCTTCGTGCCTATATCAGGAACTTTCGGCACATACATGTAACTCTGCCCCTTCTGTCCAAATGCTCATTTTAAATCTCAGTATGACATGATGATAGACTGAGCCATGTTGAAACCAGGTCTATTGCCTCTACATTAGTTTTGTAAATTTCTTGTTCTATATTTTCTACTTAAAGCTAGGGTAAGTAACAATATGTAAATAAAATCCATCTAATAATGAACTAAGTATTTTATCTTAGTGCTGTGATGGGAGACCTCTGGGAACATCAGGTGCCACAGTGAAGCCACTGCAAATGTAAAACTGTCCACAGACCAAACATTTCACTCACACATGTGAGCTGTGGCTACAGTAGAAGTTTATCACCACTGTGCACAGTGTGAAAGAATAATGCTGAGTGAAGCGTCTTTGTGTGTCCAACAAAATCTAAAATTGATACAATATGTATATAATTACTTATTGGGGGGAAACATAAGGTTTACATTCATTCACTTTGTAATATACACACTTCAATATAATGTAACCAATTCATAATAACTTCTTTAAAATATATACAGTCTAAAAATAAATATTTTCACTATATTTTCTTGGATTTATCTTTGAAAATTTGCATTGCCCTTAGACTCCAGAGGCCACAAGCTAAAGTCCAAACGCATCTCTTCAAAAAGCTGTTTGCAGGATTTATTTCTCTGCTAATGTTCCATTTACAGACACTCCGACATTAAGCCGCTGCCCTGCTCTCACCTCGCTCCAACTGCTGCGGAACACACACCGACTGTTTGAAATGTCAACTGTGAAGGCTGGAACCAGCATAGGGACCGGCACAGGGACCGGCACAGGGACCGGCGCAGGGACCGGCGCAGGCACCGGCGCAGGGACCGGCGCAGCGACCGGCGCAGCGACCGGCACAGCGACCGGCACAGGGACCGGCACAGGGACCGGCACAGCGACCGGCACAGGGACCGGCACAGGGACCGGCACAGCGACCGGCACAGGGACCGGCACAGCGACCGGCGCAGGGACCGGCACAGCGACCGGCACCGGCACAGGGACCGGCACAGGGACCGGCACAGGGACCGGCACAGGGACCGGCACAGGGACCGGTGTTCTGTCGTGTTGGTCTGCCCATCGAGAGGATCTGCCTCAGCTGTTTATGAAGCACACCAAGATGGCGGACCGTGAATTGCTTTAAAAGTTAAAATACGAACGATTTAAGACACAGATGTCACTTTTAATGCAATTTGAGGCGAGATGTTGATGGTTCCGTTTTGTCATATGTGGGTTTTAAGAGTCAAAGTTTCATGTAAAGTTTAGTTTCAGCAGTCAACTGCGCCTGTGAAACCACAAAGCTAATGTTATGATAGCAGTCCGCGGCTGCCGACGTAGGCCGATGACGCGTCCTGTGGCAACTCTACAGCTTACAACTGGTCTGAACATGTTCATATGGGATTATTAACGATTGTATTGTAATGTATCCATACCGAATAACGAGATTACACATGTTACATTCAATTAATTGCATATTGAATACAGTACGATACATGCATTAAATTGAATTTAATATTTCCATTATAGACAGACCAGTCTATGTACCCTGTGCTCCTCTCCCCTTGTTGCTGGTTCATTGTATTGTCTCCGTCTTATCCTGGTTCCTGAGTTCTTGTTTGGATTTTGAATTTGCTTTACCATGGACTATCAATTATTATCATCATTAAATCTTAATTATTTGGCATTCCTGCATTTTGGGTCCTTCATGCACTTCTATGCCTGTCGCGATATTCAATAAATCAATTAATCGCATGATAATGAAAATTAGCTCGATAGTTTTCCTGGCCGCGATGAATTCCATTTGCATGCTTGTTTGTTTTCCCGTCTCTCTCTCCCTCTCGGGTCAGAGAGCCGCAAAGTGGTCACGCGGGATGCGAGCAGAGTGATTTAACTCAAAAATACAAAATACAGCCAAAACAGGACCTAAACCAGGACCTAAACCAGGACTAAACCAGGACTAAACCAGGATTGACAACGGGGGACACAGTAGCTAGTTGTTCTCATTCAGGCTCTAGTAGTGACTACACGCAAACGCTAACTGCTCTAGTTTTCGCCGATGCGAAAGTACCGTTAAATAATAAAATAAACTTATGACACACCTCTGTGAACACATACTGCTGTTATATAAAGTCTCTGGAAGGTCTCTGGACAAAGAGACGCTGCAGAGCTGCATTATTGGTAAGAACTTTACACAATTTTACTTCCGCCACTTCCGCCAGTGGTCTTTTAACTTAAAAGTGTATTTCTCTTTGAAACTGTTTACCTGCATCATCGCCTATCGCAATAATTTCTTAGACAATTAATCGTCCAGCAAAATTTGTAATCGTGACAGGCCTATGCACTTCACCTCTTCATGACATAAACCTCAACTCTGCCTGCATGAAGCAAACAGGCAGAACGCTGTCTAAGAGACCAAGAATAACGCCAGATGTTGGGGAGAATTGTGACATCATTGGAAGATAATTACAGAATAGATAAACCTGTTTGCTGCTGCCAAAGTATTCAATAGATCATATGACATTAAACTTAACCTCCAAAAATCCATCTCACAATAATCACAGAAAACAAAATGAGGATTGAATGTTTCCCCAAACTTAAAAGATTAATAATGTGTACAATAAAGAAACTTTGAAAAAAGTAAAAACAGCCCAGGTCACAGTTCCAACTTAAAATTCTCCTCAGCGCTACAAGTATTTTAGCTGACAAAGCTTGAAATTATACCAGTTTTAATGAAAACAGTTTTGTGCAGCAAATACACATGAAGCCTCATTTACCTTCATTGTAATTAATGACCTTTTTGCTCGGTTTAATACAAGTTTACAGCAATTTTTATCCAAACTACAACAGCAACAACCACAAGCATTTTTGTCTAATACTTTCATCCTAGTTTAATTTTGACACAAGATATTTTTATAATTACACATTTTTTTAATATCATGTCTATTAAACTGATTCGAGGCAAAATACTTTCCAAGATTTTTGCTGAATGACTCACGTCAACAGTAAAATGCAAATGCATCCTTCCTCTTCACAACCGCTGGAAGTAATTAGGTTTGAGGACATTAAAGAGCGCTCTTTTATTTAGCGCCAGCTCCATCTGCTGCTGCTGCTGCGAGGAGCCGGAGGGGAAGGGCGCTGTGCCGTGTGCACCGCAGCAAACTCCAGAAGCAACAAAAAAAAACAATAGGTAAACACAACATCTGACACAGAAGGACTTTCACAGAGAGTGGGCCTTTCAAATCAAGGTCATCAGTGACTTTTGTTGAGGTCTGAGGGTCATTAATGCACTTTGAGACAGAAACTGTCTCAAAGTATATAGATACATACATATAGATACATACATAGATCCCCGTAGGAGAAATCCAGGTGTCCAGAAGCAACAAAAACACATCCATCCATAGAGACAAATCAAATAAATTGATTATTATAAAAAGCTGACAATAGTAATAGTAATAATGAGAAAAAGCAAGAATAATTTAAGTCTGAAATTCCAAATAAATAAAAAACATGTGATAATTTGGTGTAATAACATGTACTTCACAATAATGTGTTATACTGAGTTAAAAATACATGTATAAAACATTCAGTGATGCAAACACTTACAGTAAACGCCTCCTCCTGCGCTCATGACTGGTAATGGAAATTTGAGGCATTTTTGTTGATAGATTTGACCACTAATAGTTTCCAAACGCTTATGTGGAACAGTAACAGATGACTAAATGTCTCGAGAAGCAAAACAATATCCAGGAAAGACACTCCGACGTGTTCCAGTTAATCCCATTACATTGTTGTGCTTGGCAACGTTGTTTTGCAGGCGAGGTAAAACAGGAGATCATGGAATACATTACGAAATAATAACAATGGTCAATGGTCAGACTAGACGCAGCGATAAGCGTTGATGGATGACTTTGTTAAAGATTCTTGGCTATAAAAGGTTAAAGAATATAGACCAATCCATCAATGACAGACTGTTTCAGCACAAGCCATGTTTCTAAGCACACATGGCAAAAAGCAGACGCCTAGATTGATGTAATGTCCCTTGTGTTTACAGTACTGCCTATACAGAGATGTTGTAAATAATGACTATGATTTGTGGCGTTGGATGAGTGCACACATCATAGAAAAACATTATGTAGATTCATGGCCGTCACACAGACACGGTGAGAATAACAAACAGGTTGTTGGCCTTGGATTTGTCTTAGTCACTACAGCTGGAGGCTCCGAGCTGCTGATGCACGGCTCACAGTCTGCCCACCACACCGAATAAACAACTACACTCCGGACGAAGCTACGCAGCGTTAAAGATGTGACAAACTTCAAATGTATACGTTTTGTGATTTTGTGCACGCTGATGTGATTTGCGGTACAGTGCAGAAACGTATACATTATCTATTAAAGAATTGAATTAGTTTGAAGTCTGATTTGACTTAAAACAACCTTTTGCCAATGAGTCAAGAAGACATGTCTTTTTCAAGGGCAGTCACACTCCTTTCTGGACTTTACAAAGATAAAAGTAACCCAACTCAAGCTATTTTTGATTTATGTTGTGTCAATTTTGGATATATTGGGGATAGACCGATACGTTTTTGCAGACTATTGCAACTATTATCTCCCTTTGGCTGCGTTCACCATTTAAAAATGACAAAACGTGGCTTCGGGGACAAATTCAAGGTCCAAGAATAAACATATTTCCTAAGAAGTTACTGTATCATTGAAATGAATAATCAACTGTTGACATATTTTTCTAACCTATTGTATACTGTGTATGGGTATTATACAAGTTTACGAGTACACAATTTGACAGCCAAAAAATGGTCAGGGGTTTCTCAACTGATAGACTAATTTTGGTGTTCTGAGTCCGAATATCACATGCATTTTGCTTCAGGGTCAGGTCAACATTTTGAGATGCAGCCATAGTGTTACGGATTATGTACGTTTATGTCATTATGAATTCTGGTTATAAAATTTGATGGAGTAAATAAAAACTGAATGACTTTGGATACGTTGACTTTTATTTCTTGAGGAAAACGGAAAAAACGTCAAGGGTTTCTCAGCTGATGATCCGCAGAAATTTGTTTTTTATGCAAAATCGATTTAAAAAAAAAAATCCTGACCTGATTGAGCAAAACCAGGGTCATTTTCAGTCTCAGAGTATCAAAATTAGTCTAATTCAGCTGGAAAACCCTGGACTATTTTCAAAAAATATTTTGTGGTATAGCTTTAGACTACAGCACACAAAATAGGAGTACCAGTAAAGTACTTCTTTGTGAAAATGTCGGGTCTTCTTGTTTTTCAATCCTTTTTGAAATTACTTCTTTGATATTGATTCATGCCTGTATGTTTTTTTAGTTGTTGGGGCATCATTTTTGTTTTGAATCGTCATCAGTCATTGGTTGTCAGGGATAACAACAATTTTTTAAAAATGAATTAAAAAGAGATAACTAATGTAGCAAACTTCCTGATTGGGGCCTTTGATGACATTTACTGGGGGAAATGAACCCAAATAAAAATATAGCATCACAGTATTTTTAAGAAAAGTTGTGTTTAAAGGGAAAGACCAGTATTTTAGGCATATATCAAAAGTATACATCGGGATCGGACATTCAAAAGCTGGAAAGGTATCTTTAGCCTCTATGTGGAGTGTTTTATCATAAGAAAATCCTGCAACTGTTATGTTTTGTCTGGTGCCTTTTAACAAACATAGAAAAGCTACATATGGGGTTCAATAATCATAAGTTCTACTAAATTTCACAGAAATTAAAGAAAACCTGGGGTCGGCTCCCACGATTTTTTGTATATACTCAAAGCACAATGTAATTTTTCCTTCAACCGCGGCATATTGCTATGGATTACAATACAATCCCTCGTTTCTTGTTGCTAAATCCAATGAGATTCAGTGCGATCGGCGGAGACTACAGAGGCTGAGGCTGTTATGGCGGTGACAGAAGCTATTAAAAAATGCAAACAAAAAGAGGAAGGTGACTGCGCTGTCTCTGTTGATGCCCAGGGCTCATGTAAACACAAGTAGAGCCAAGGTTGTGTTTACACTGAGCGAGATAGTTAACAAAATGGCACATTAGTCACTCAATAATTGCCTGTAAAATGAAAACTCAGAAGGGAAATGGTGGCAGAAATAGACGCTGCAGTAAAAGTCTGGTCGACTGAGAAGATGAGAAGAATGACAGTGAAAGATGTGAATGATTGAATGAAATAAAAGACAAAGAAGACTACACTATGGGAAATATAATGCTCAAAAACACATTCATGGTCAGTACAGGGACAAAATATCTAATGCCTAGGGATGTTCAGATGCCACTTTATTCAAAACTGATACAAGTATGAGAACATTAATGAGTACTTGCCGATACCAGTACTTCATCGTGTTATCCCTGGGAATTCATAAAACTAATACAACTGAAATGTAAACATTTTTATTTCTCATTTTAACGATAAGAAAAAATGTTTAAAAAATTAAACATTTTGCTCGTAGATTGTCGCTTCTCCAATATAATATATATATACCTCATATGTTGTTTTTATACTTACATATACTTTATAAAGCTAAATTTAGATAGATTAGTGTAGATTTGTGTGCTCCTTACTGTTCTACTTGTGATGCGACACTGAAATATGTTAACTGTCCCCACCGGACAAACCTTGCATGAAATTGTGGTGTTTATAGAGTGCATAGTTTGTAAAAGTCTAAACTCCTGTCTGCGCAATCTCTGAAGGAGCCACTCTGCAGAGGAAACTCAATTCGACCACTTGTGTCCTTGATCTGGTCCTTTCAGTGAGTACCACAGCTCAGGACTATAGGTGAGGCTGGAAACACAGACTGAGCGAAAAATCCAGAGCTTTGACTGCAGACACTGCTCCCTCTGTCTTCACCACAACAGCGATCGCATCATGCATCGATCGGTCAGGTTAATCTCACGCTCCATCTTTCCCTCACAAGAGAACAAGACCAGAGACTTGAAAAAGGAAGGACTTCACCACTGGGAGATTGCAAGCCAGTTTTATCCGGTAAAACATGAAATATAAATATTAGAAAACATTTACATGAAGTAATGCATATTTTTCCTTTCATAATATCGCATATAAGAGTGATATAACAGTCAGAAAGATGGAGGCCGTGAGTAACAAAGGTTTTCAAAATAGAGCTTATGAAGAGTCCTGTAAATACACCATTATATAATGTAAAAATGGTGTTTGACAAATCTGACATATGACAAAAAGAAAATCCAGCTGAGCATTCCTCTCCAGTGGTTGAAAACCTAGGAATAAGCAGTTTGCTAAATGAATGTACAACACTTTCAAGCCTCAAGCAAAGAAAGTCCCGAAAGAACCCTTTCTGTCGTGGTGTTTTGTATTTGACCTGCCACTTGAGGATGGAGGTTCAGGACTTTAATAAACAATATACAGAGTTGTACAGAGAAACTTCTGTACAAGTTTGTTGAAAGTTGCAACTGCTCTGTCAGCTGTTCAAAGTTTTATTTCACATATTCATCTAATATTAGTGGATCCGAAAAACTAAGAATGTATCATGGCTAATCAGTCTGATTTAAGGATATTTTCTCACACAAATGCATAGACACAGCACAATTATTTGTTATCTGCCCTAACTTCCTTCCATTTGATCAATACGCAAACCTTTTAATTGTAAGTTTCTAGGATAAATACATTTGACCCAGCTATTGTAAAACACTTAGTAATAATTGATACAATAAAAAGATTAGTCCCCAGTTGCCCTGTTCTGTACTCACCACAAACAAAGTAAGTTATAATTTGAAATAAACCCATTTCCTTCCATATCCATAAAGGCATTATGAAACAACCTTGAAAAATGCCTTCTCTGCTAACGTACGTATTAGAGCCACTACCCCATGTTTATCTACAGCAGAGGTCAGAAACCTTTATAGCTGAGGGAGCCAAATATTTTATATATATGTGTTTTTTTTACAACATGAGCAAGACATTTAGAACGTAATATTAGTCTCAGAAAGTGTAATTTTGTTAAATAACATTTTTATACTTAAGAAATCCTAAACATAAAACACTTTGTCTGAGATTTGTCTGAGAGCCAGACACAATCAAAAAAAGCCATAGGTTCCAGACCCCAGATCTACAGCCTAAAATAAAATCGGCATCAGCCTCGGCCTAAAACCAATTATCAGCCGATCTCTAACAATTACATCATCAGTATGCGGCCAATGTGTGGCTACGGAAAGTTTAGCTGCTTCTGAAGAGTGGAAAAGTGTTTACAAGTAGACTTTAAACATGTTCAAAGTGGGACTGGAAAATTGCTGCATCTCTGTCTTGCCAGGGTGTGTACAATCCCAGATATCAAACACGTTCGATATAATTTGCAGCTCATCTATGTTTATACGACAGTTCCAAGTGTTCTCTTTGTGAAATCAATGAGCCGAGATATTCTCCCCTAACCGTCATACATCTTTTGTAGCAGACAGACATAATCGTGCAGTGGACCCCCCTCTTTAGATTGGTTTAGCACTTAGGTTTTGTTCTGCACGCATTACAAATGTACACAAAGCTCATTTTCATGTGACCTACACTTTTGCATTGTAGAAGAAGAACCATTGCACGCACTTATAACTGAATCATCGAGAGAAACAGGAGAATTACAGGAGATTACGGCTCAGACCAAAGCCCCAGAACAATGGACTGCAATCTGTCTTAATTCCCAAGCTAATCGACCGATGTGCTGCTCATAAAAGGCGGCCGCTGGAGAAAGCAATGCACAAAATACAATATTACGGACAATCATACAGGAGCCACACCGGGATCTCCATTAGCAACATATGAGCTGTCAGAGCCACTTCTGCTCAAGGAAAAGACTTTGTAAGAAACATTTTCTAGTGATTTATTTCGAGATGAAGGTATTAAAAAAATACAAAGGTCTCAGCGCTTTATAGACTTCAAGTTCACAGATTAACACATTTTACAAAATGTAACCTACAGAAGTAACAAAACTAATATTCTAAATGATTTTATTATTATCTAGTTGTATTTGTTTAAGCTGTATTGGCACAACAGGTGGTATTGGACTGGTATATCTGAATCAACATCATGCTTGTGGAAAAGTATCGAATCAGATTTTTTTTATTTATTATCGGAACATACTTTTTCACAGACTGTACCACTGACTAGAATGAGTTAATTTTCTTACAGCTCTTTTGTGTTCCACAGATGACTAATGGAATAAATATTTAGATATGAATCATAGGCCGTAGAAGAACGTCACTGTAGAACTAATGTATTGATTGGTCAATCCTTATGGCGCA